TGCGCAACTGAGCTTGCCGCAGCTGAGTTTTCAATAGATTGAGAACTTGTTGACGTTGGAACAGCATCATGTCAACGACCTCAACCTTTACTTCCCATTTCTGATATTAAGGTACTAAGGTAGGTACCTTCCCATATAAGGCTTGAAAAGGGGACATATTAATAGAAGAATGGACAGAGGTATTGTAATGTAATTCAGCCCAACACAACAATGTAAACCATTTATGATTCTGTTCTGAGCAAAATGCCCTGAGATACTGCTCCACATACCGATTGGTCACCTCACTCTGGCCATTCAATTGAGGGTGGTAAGCTGATGTAGCTTGCAATGTAGTACCACTCAATGTAAATAATTGACGCCAAAATTTACTCATGAAAATTAGGTCTCTGTCTGACACCAAGGATTTTGGAAATCCATGTAATTTAACTACCATGTTACAAAAAAGGTGAGCAACAGTGGCAGCTGTATAAGACGATGGTAAAGCTCCAAAATGGCCATATTTTGATAATCTATCCACAACAACCAAAACAGCGGTATAACCATTGGAACGTGGAAGAGAAGTAATAAAATCCAATGTGAGGTCATCAAACATTGCATCAGGAATTTGGAGTGGCTGTAACAATCCAAAAGGTAACTGTGTGAAGCTTTTAATTTGTTGACAAAACCACACATTCTTTTACAAATTGCTTAACATCCTTTCTCATATTCTTCCATATGAATGAAGTAGAAAGACGTAAAAATGTTCGGTGTACACCTGCATGTCCTCCAAGCTGTGAACAGTGAGCCTCTATTAACAAAGTTTCCTTCAAAGCAGAATTTGATCCCAGCAGGCATTTATTATTAAGAAAAAGCATCACATCCTTGTTGCACAATGCCTTATCTTGATGTGTTCGTTGCTCGAGTTCTTTGTGTAGTAACAATAACTCCTGATCAACTTTGTTTTCTGCTCGAACTTTCTCCCAAATATCCAAGGTTGGCTCCGAACGTAATGCATTAATAGTTGCAGTGTCCTCATCTGAGAATTGCCTTGAAAGGGCATCTGCAACTACATTTGATATGCCAGATTTGTACTCAATTGTGAAATTATAGCCCATCAACTTGTACACATATTTTTGCTGCTCAGGAGTTTGAATTGCTTGTGTCAATAACTCCCTTAAGCTCTGGTGATCTGTTCTAAGGATGAAATGAGAACCAAGCAAGTAATGACGCCACTTTTTAATGCCCTCTGTCACTGCATACAGCTCACGCACATAAGCAGAAGAGGCTGCCATTCTTGGCCCAAATTTCTTACTAAAGAAAGATACTGGTTTCCCATGCTACAACAACACTGCCCCAGCCCCCAAATTCGATGCATCAAATTCAACAACAAAAGAAGAAGCGAAATTGGGTAGCTGTAACACAAGAGTTGATGATACAGCTTCCTTCAATGCTGTGAAAGATTGCATTGCTGCAAGATTCCAAATCAGTTTCTCATGCTTCAGTAATTCAGTGATTAGGTAAGCTATAGATGCATAACCCTTAACAAATCTACGATAATACCCCGTCAATCCCAAAAAAGCTCTCAGCTGTTTAATTGATATAGGTACTGGCCAATCAATCATTGCTGAAATTTTCTTGGGGTTGGCCTTTACACCATTGGCTGTGACTACATGCCCCAAATATGCTATCTCATCCACACCAAATTCACATTTACTCAATTTAACAAAAAATGAGTTTTGCAGTAAACATTGCAATGCAATTTCTAAATGGCTAACATGTTCAGTTAAGGATGAACTATAAATCAAGACATCATAAAAAAAACCACGATAAACCTGCGCAAATAAGGACGAAAGATCCTATTCATGGCAGCTTGAAAAGTTGCAGGCGCGTTGGTTAGGCCAAAAGGCATCACTTTAAACTCATAGTGACCCTCGTGAGTTCTAAATGTTGTCTTGTGTATGTCTTCGGGTTGCATCCGTATTTGGTGGTAACCGGAGCGTAAATCAAGCTTGCTGAATATCTTGGCCCCAAATAACTCATCTAGTAACTCATCTATTGTGGGGATGGGGAAAGCATCTGATACGATCCTAGTCAGCAAACACACAACTAATGCCACGTCATCTAGGAGTTTCCCAAATTACCCCGTAACAGAATGGAGAGCATGGAAGTGACTTGAAGTTAGTTATATACAGAGGGAAGGCAACATGGTGGGGCATCACAAAAGTATATTGGAATTGGACTCTTGGGAGAGAGTGAAGCCTCTCCAATTGCTTCACCACTATCCTTTATTGTATTTTCTTTACTGTTATGCATTTCCAGTTTTGTAATTGTTCCTTTTCTTGTAATTTGTCTCTATTTAATGTCACAGGATCTGTAATTGTATCTTGATTTCCATAAATATATGAAAAATCTGATTATTTAGGCCAAAAAGTCTTGGTTTCTCTGTTATTAGTTGATTGTTCCTTATTTTCAATAGAGATCTGTATCAAATTGGTATCAGAGCTATCCGATCTGGTAGCTTTGAACCACGCTGATAAATAAATAAATAAAAGAAAAAGAAGGAGGTGATTTCAAGATGATTCCGGTGTTTGATGGAGTGGAAGCATATGGATGGCAGATCCAAATGGAGCAATACTTCAAGATGAAAGGAACTCCAGAAACGAAGAAAATTTCAGAGGCTGAGAAGGGACTGAAAAGATATGATCGCATTTGGTACCTGTTCTGGAGGGGGTCGAAATTGAAGGCAAGTTGGTGGGATTTCTCAAAGGCGATGCTAAAGGAATTTCAACCGGAATTTGATCCTGATTTATATCTTTGTGACGAAGAGAAAGACAGGGGCCATTTGAATTCAGAAATGGAGAGGGAAGGAAACTTGTTGATAGAAAAGAAAGAGACACCAAAACTAGAGAAGCAGAAAATCATGAACAAAAAGATTTGCTGGGAAGAAGATGATACAAGATCGGAAATGCATAAAAAATCAGTGTTGGAGAAGCACGAGAAAGTAGATGCAGAGCTTACGAACAAGGTTTTGGATATGCAGTTGCCGGCAACAACACAGCCATTGACGGTGGTTGTCAGCCTTCCACCATTGCCTGAACCAGCAAACGCGAATCTTCAAGGAAAAGAGACGACTACAAAAAAGGAAAGCGAGCTGTTAGGGAAGGTGGTGTGTGAACCATCGAAGTCAGAAGCACTAGTGGAGGTGGAGTATCCACCGCCATTACCTAAACCGCCATACTTAAAGCTTCTTGTGAAGATGGACGTGTCTTTGTGTGGCGACCAATGGAAGAAGACGAGAACAGTAAACTATTGGCATTTCAACCGAGGAAGAAGATGGCAGCCACAAACACACAAGACCTAGATGAGGGAATTAGGTCAGAGGAGGAATTGGGTCAAATTAGAAAAGTGGCCCACACTATTAACATGTTATTTTCAGCCCAATCTGGAAGAAGTTTTAGAAGAAATTATGTTTTAGTGACAGATTGGGCTTGCACGCCCAATGACCCATTTGGGCTAAGGGGACTAAAAAGACATATTTTCTATCAATGTAAAAGTTGGGTTGTGAAGGATGAAGTCACCAAAAGAAGGGGGAGTAGACAACACTCTTCAGCGCCAGCCACCATCGACGAGCAAGGAGCACAATTTGCAGACATTACCGACCCGATGATCTTCCTTGATACAACTATGTTTTGGAAAAAAAGGGCCATGCTGCAGCTATATGCGCTGATTTCGTGAAGAGGATTTATTGCAGGGGGCATGTTATCGAAAGCAAGCTCCAAGGTTCATTAATGGGTGCTTATCATCTCAACTCGACTTGCCTGAAGCTGTTACGAAGAAGGAATATACAACCAAGAAGCCATCAGCATTGCTGTTTTTTGCAGCTGATCTATCCTCATACAGGTCTGTTTTTAAGCTTTACGTAGGTGTAAAGGAAGAGAATCGATTTATGGCTGCCAAATCGGTTTTCAAGTTTCATTCAATTATTGTCATTGCTGCCAAGGCACTTGCGGGTTCATCATTTTCAAATAATGTTCAATTGATTGGTAACTCAGCTGTTACTTGGCTCGAATATTTTTGCGAAAATGCTTCATTGATTGGTATGACTGCTGATTTCAGAGAAATTGAATGCCATCTCTGTGAGTCACAATGGTGGGTTAGGAGAATATTTTATTCTTTGAATTTTCAAGAAGGGAAAAGGTACCTTATGTTTAAGGAAGATGTATTCAACCATTTTTCTAAGTTCAGAAATCAAACAACAAGGCGTTCAGCATTGAGAGCTAATGTGGATAGGCGATGGGACCCCGGAGGTAGTCTCTGTGTTTTTGTCATAAGTTGTGGTTTACAATTTAAGCAATGGGATCCGGGTGGAAGGTGATTGGGGACTAAATATCACCTTGAGGACAAGGTGATTGTTAGGGGGGAGTATTGATACGATCCTAGTCAGCAAACACACAACTAATGCCATGTCAGCTAGGAGTTTCCCAAATTACCCCGTAACAGAATGGAGAGCATGGAGGTGACTTGAAGTTAGTTATATACAGAGGGAAGGCAACATGGTGGGGCATCAGAAAAGTATATTGGAATTGGACTCTTGGGAGAGAGTGAAGCCTCTCCAATTGCTTCACCATTATCCTTTATTATATTTCCTTTACTGTTATGCATTTCCAGTTTTGTAATTGTTCCTTTTCTTGTAATATGTCTCTGTTTAATGTCATAGGATCTGTAATTGTATCTTGATTTCCATAAATATATGAAAAATCTGATTATTTAGGCCAAAAAGTCTTGGTTTCTCTGTTATTAGTTGATTGTTCCTTATTTTCAATAGAGATCTGTATCAAATTGGTATGAGAGCTATCCGATCCGGTAGCTTTGAACCACGCTGATAAATAAATAAATAAAAGAAAAAGAAGGAGGTGTCCAGGAGTTGCTTAACACCTTCAATTGATCCAACTTCTTCTGTTGTGCTGGGGCAATTTTACCCCTAATTGTACCAAGTATTCTTTGATGGGCAGCCATCCTCCTCATGATATAGCATCTAAGTTCTTCACATAGGCTGACAATGGGCTTGGACTGTATCCAACAATTTTTGCATTCCACACCTCAGCCATGTTGTTGGTTATATTGTCACACTTGGGCCAGTGACTAAAATAGGCCTTCACCCAGCATGAGGGGTCAATCTTGTGAAGGTATGCCCAAGCATCTTCATTCAACTCCTTCAATTTCTGCATTGTTCTTTGGAATTGGGGCACAGTAGTGCAGCGTGCAGCTTCCCACACTATTCCCCTAATGGCTTTGTCCTTCCATTGCTTAATAAAATTCTTCCACACGTGCTGCACACAGAACCTGTGATGGGCACCAGGCATGACCTCCTGTAATGCTGGTATCAAACCCTGCATTCATATATCAAGCAACAACAAAAGTGATCACACATGGCTAGCAATGTACAACTTTTAAAAAAGGAAAATAAATTTGAAATAATCATACCTTTTGTTGATCAGAAATGAAGTTCCAGCCATGTACTACATGGCTGCCAATGTCCTCTTGTAACAAGTTCAAAAACCACTTCCAATTTTCTTTAGTCTCACTATCAACAACTGCAAAAGCAATGACATAAAAACTCTTATTTGCATCCTCTCCCACTGCACTCAAGAGTTGTCCCCCATAATAACCTTTAAGAAACATCCATCCAGGCCAATCAATGGCCTACACCCAGCTTTGAATCCTTTCTTACAGGCATCAAGGCATATATACAGTTTAGAAAAAATTGGTGGGCTATTAGGGACTGGTTGTGGAATTACTTGCATCTGGCAAGTGCAGCCAGGGTTGCTCAGCCAGGTAGTCCCTTAGCTTGGCATACTGTTCCTTCTCATTTCCTTCTATTCTTCTCTTGGCTTTGTGTAGTGCCTTCCCTAATTTCTTCAGATGAACATGGACCTTGTACTCTTCCTTTAAATGCTCATAAGCCTCGGCTCTTGTCATATTGGGTTGTGTGACCAGCCTTTTCTCCAACTTTACAGCAACCCAATCCCTGGTGGCCCTTTCATTTTTGAAAATTCTGCAGCACGTGTGGTTTTCATTGAATGTCTTGACTTGGAAACAATTGAATTTGTTACTCCAAGAACAATATATCATCCACTCACAGTCAGCATTTGAGCACTTGGCCCTTGATCTTACTTTGTCATTCTTAACCCATACAAATTGCCTCCCAATAGTCTTTGACACCCAATTTAAAGTGCTCCAAGCTGCCAAACTCCATTCCAAGCTCAAGCTGTACTTACCAAAGGCCTGCTCCTCATTAAACTTGGGAAACACTTCCCTCTCAACCTCCCCATCCCCACTTGTAGGACGAGTCTTCAATTCTTCAGAATTGTAACCATAGCCCTGATCTTCAAATGACATATTCTCCTAATCCTCTTCCAAGTTTTCTTCCTTATCACTCTTGTTAACTGCCTTTTTTTCCTTCTTTCCCTTCACCTTTTTTTTCAAAGCAATTATTGGCTCCTCATCTTCATCCAATTCATCAAATTTATCCTATGTTTCGTCATCAACACCCGGTGGCGGAGGCTTGTAAGGCTCATCTTCTACACTGTCGTATGAATAAGATGACAGTCCATTGCCCTCTCCCTCTTTGCTTTCATCAGCAGAAAAAGAATTGAACTCACACGAACTTCCAACTAAATCACCTAAGACCCCCTCCTCATCAGCACTTTCAGGAAGAGACCCTTTTGCAAGTCCAGCCAAAATCTCAGGAACTGCAATGCAACCATCAAAATATATGTCTATTTTGTTCCCATTACTTAAGGCAGCCTTGACCATTTGCAAAACATCTGAATCCTTTTCAAAAAGATGCAAGCCAACCTCTAAATCACTCTCACAGGCTTCAACCACCACATCTGCCTACATTTGTGGTAACCATACCCCTTGAACAGAGCTTCAAGGTCACGAAGGTTTACATAGTCTGAATCCATTTCAAGTAAATCATCCACTCTGCCATTCACATAATTCAGCTTCCCTTCATCATTCCTAACCAACACACCCCCATGATGATATCTTATCACTATATATTCATCCATCTGCATAGAAAACAGAACATAATCTTTTTTTACACTACCTTAAAATTATTTTACAGTATCATACAACCAATCAATTATTATCAATATTACTATAATACTGTAACAGTCACGGTTATTTTAAATGGCTGCATTGCTAAAAAAATTGGGGTTTTTTTTTGTAATCACTACACATAGCAACTTAAAATAACAACAGGGGGACCACATGCAACAAGTTCCAAAAATATTCTACCAAAGGGGACCACAGAAAAAAAACCCGAACCATCTCTTGCCCCACCAAAGGGGACCACATTAAGCAAAAACACAATGACCAAAAAGGATAGAGGGACCACAAATAATAAAGAAAGGGTTTCTCTCACGTACCTTGCACGAATGTCACCACAGTCACAACCGGTTTAAGGATCTTCACCCTAAACCACACTACTTCCAAAAGCTTGCAACTGCAGAAGACAGGTACAGTAACAAAGCACCGTAGGTCACCAACCTTCACCGAAACGAAGCTCACGAGCTGAGGAAATGGCGGAGGAAATGGCGGGTATGGACAAGTTACTTGTTGTCTGACTGTGTTAACTGAGTCAACAATAAAAGTTCAAGAAGTCTATCTTCATCAAACGATGTTGTCCCCTTCTACACACCTGATACAGTCTTCCAATGTAAGACGATGTTGTTCCTTTCTCCTCCATGTGGCTGTGACGTTAGTGACTCAGCCACTTAACGTTCCAGCTGGCCTCCGTCAAGTGGGTCGTCACATTCCCAGTAACAGGACAAACGTGTCCCTTTTTTCAAAAATTAGACACTGAAATGTGACTTTTTTTTACCTAGGGACTAAATTGTGCCTCGTGAAAATTTCCAGGGGCGAAAAAAGGGTATTTACTCAAAATTTTAAAGACCAAAACACCCTTATGTAGGAAGCTGATAACTTCGTTCGGAAAGCTCTAAATAGAATACATCACGATCTAGTTATAATACGGGAGATGCAGGAAGTATGGATTTGCAGCTTGCAGCGTGGATCTTATGTTAAGGGGAAACCGACAATGGTTTCGTTTCGGTTTGGAGTTGGTGGGTAACCCCAGGTCAGCGATGCAATAGTTGTAGACGGTGTGGACGGCGGCCGGATAGGTATGACATATTAGGGGATTGGTAGTGAGCAAAAGTTCTCCGGCAGCCGTAATACCAGATCCACGAACAGAGGCCATTGACTCAAAGAAGCAAACAATGTTTGAGAGAGAGAGAAAGAAAAATACGATGACAGAACAATTTCAGTTATATTCAAATTGATGGTAGTTTGGTAACTTTAGTTAATATTCCCATCTTTTTATACTATCAACCAAACATAACATCAGTAAAATTCACTCAATTTTCCCAGAAAAATTTCGGCATACCAAACACTTTTTTTTAACTTACCCGGCGAAAATTTTTTCCCACCATATCCTCAGCAAGTTTTTGGTCCTAGTGACAAAAAATTTCTGTTGTACCAAACGCCCCCTAAAATACCATAATAAATAAGCACTGTCTACGACACTCTTTCAACCTAATCTTTACCTAAGAGGCCCATCAACGCTTCTTTCCTTCTCTACCTGAAGTCTATACTTTTTTAAAAAAAAAAAATTCAAAATATATATATATATATATATATATATATATATATATATATATATATTTGAATACATATAGGAACATCTTTTTGGATCGTTTTTTTTAATTAAAGCTAAAAAAACTAAGAAAAAAGTTAAATTTTTTTGATGATTACATAAAAATTTTAACTTAAAACTCACACATTTTAAGAAAATTCTATCTCTATCTTTATGGCTTTTTATTTCAAAAAAACACACAATTCAATAAAACCTGATGAGAGCTTTTGGCTTTTTCTTCATTATGAAAAAAAATCATTATAAGAGTTTTTTCTCAAGACTTATTTGACATGATTTCTGCTTATAAGAAGAATAAAAGGTAAAAATAAGAAGATCCAAATAGGCACTAGATATAATAAAACAAAAATTCATTTACTAATAATTTCATATGTTTCATCTTTCTTGAACAAAATACATGTGTGTAAAAGAATTATGGGTTGATTTCATATAAATTGATGTTTTATGCTATAATTAATGCAGATAATTGGTTTCCTATTTAAAATCATAAAAGACATCATCTCTAAAAATGAGGACAATTGGTATGGAGATCAATGAGCTTATATGCTTTATGTTAGGGAATAGGATTCCATCGGACATAACAATAACAACAAATAAAGGAAATTGAAAGCAGTAAATGGACACAGATATTTTACGTGGAAAAACCCTCAAAGTAACTGAGTTGAAAAACCCACGGGGCAAGAGTAGAAAATATTTACTATGGGAACTCCAAAATTACAACCTCTCTTTTATCACAAGGAGAGGACAATTTTTATCTCTCTCTTGAACTAGGAATACTCCTCACAAAATATATTCAATATAATATTATAACAAATAATATTATAATAATAATAATAATAAGAAGGAGAAGGAGAAGGTGTGGTACAGGGGAAAAGGAAAGGGGGGCTTTATTATATAGATCCTTCCCCCCATCCTATTTATTAACCCACCGATGTGGGATCTAACAATCTCCCACTTGGAGATATGATTGAGAACCAATCAATCTCCACACAATTCTTTCTATCTTGCCATGTCCATGTTGTCTACGTTTCTGCCATGCCATATGAAGATCTGTACCATATGTACTTGTCAGTGTTGATTGGTTTTGTCAACGCATCTGCTATATTCTCCTTCGTGTGAATTTTCTATACATACACGCTTCCATCTTCTACCACTTCACGAACAAAATGATATTGAACTCCTATGTGCTTTGTCCTGAAATGAAAGGCTGGATTCCTTGCAATGTGCAAGGCGCTCTGAATGTCACAATACAAAAATAGTGTTCTTTTGTTTGTGCCTGAGCTCCTCCATGAACTTTCTTATCCAGATTGCTTCTTTGCAAGCTTGAGTTATTGCCATATACTCAACTTCTGTCGTGGAAAGTGCCACGACGGACTGTAGTTTGGAAACCCAACTAACAGCTCCTCCCGCAACTGTGAACACATAGCCTGTGGTAGATTTCATTTTCTCCAGATCTCCTGCAAAATCAGAATCAACATACCCTCTGACAATATATTCAGATCCTCCATAACATAGACCAACATCTGAGGTTCCTTTGATATATCTCAGGATCCTCTTAACAGCATTCCAATGCTCCTGCCCATAATTTGCCATGAATCGACTAACCACTCCCACTGCATGCGCAATGTCTAGTCTTGTACAGATCATAGCAAACATTAAACTCTCCACTGCTGATGCATACGTTACTCGAGACATCTCCTTCCTCTCTGATTCACTGCTAGGACTCATACTTGAGGATAACTTGAAATTAACAGGAAGAGGGGTAGAAATTGGCTTACAATCTTGCATGTTGAAGCGCCGCAAGATCTTCTTCAAATAATTCTTCTGTGATAGCCAAATCTTCCTATTATTTCTGTCTCGGTGAATTTGCATCCCTAAAATCTTGTTTGCTGGTCCCAAGTCCTTCATTTCAAACTCCCTAGCCAACTGTGCCTTTAATTCTTGAATTAGATCTTTGTTGGGGCCTGTCACCAACATATCATCAACATATAACAGTAAGATAATGAAATCATTCCCAAACCTCTTGAAATAAGCACAAGGGTCTGAACTGAGTCTGTTATATTCAAGGCTCGATATGAAAGAATCAAATCTCTTATACCAACACCTCGGCGCCTGTTTGAGACCGTATAGAGATTTGTTCAACCTGCAAAGCAAGTTCTTCTTATCTGGTTCTTCAAAACCTTCTGGTTGGAGCATATAAATTTCTTCTTCAAAATCTCCATGAAGAAATGCAGTCTTTACATCTAACTGCTCTAAATGTAAATTGAATATTGCACACATAGCCAATACAATACAAATTGTAGTGAGACGAACCACAGGTGAAAATATTTAAGTAAAGTCAATACCTTCTTTCTGAGAATAACATTTCACCACCAATCTTGCATGATACCGCTCCACCTGATCATCACTGTTTCGTTTGATCTTGTATACCCATTTGTTTCCAATGGGTTTTCTTCCTTGCGATAATGGCACAAGTTCCCAAGTCCTATTCTTATGAAGAGCTTCAATTTCTTCCTGCATTATTGTCATCCACAATGATGCATCCGAGCTAGTTGTTGCTTCTCGAAACGTTGATGGCTCTCCATCTTCTGTTAGAAGACAGTATGCAACATTTCCCTCCATAACATAGTCAGACTGCCAGGTTGGTGTTTTCTTCTCACGAGTTGCCCGTCGAACTTCT